TCCCATTGTACTACAACCGTTTGGCTTTAATATGGCGTCCACGTTGACATCATGAAGTATACTCGTTTCAGGTGAACATTGTAGTAAAGCTGAACATCTGCAGTACAACGATGAGATTAGTCTACGAATCCTAATCATGCACTTTTATACGAAAAGAAGGCCTCCACAACAATACAATCTCAAGAGTTTAATCGAAACCGTTTTTTCCTCGTCTATAATTTATTTATTAATGACATTACATGTGTAATTTTTCAGCCATGATGATCAGAAAGAACCTGGTCAAACGATGGTTTCTTCTAATAATTCATCAGTTCCCACAAATGTAGTAAGCACATCCAAGTCTGTCTGATCCTATATTCATTTGCAATATTTTATTATATCATGGGGGTATTTTCGGCGAGAATCTTAATCACTATTCTAACCATTAGCAAGTCTCGCGTTAAGAAACCACCCTAAACCTCAATAATAAAAGTCTTCATGCCTTTATTTATTTGCCATCTCCATTATTTTTTAAAAACTCCTGCGCGTTTTGGAGATAAAGAATTATATGTCCACCTAATAATTTTTGGGTCAAAGCTATGCTGAAAAGATATTATAAAGTGCACCTATTAAGTAACAAGACGACAAGTATTACCTGAAAAAGACGAAAAGCAATCGGACATATGAGATGTATCGATCCATCAGTATTTCTTCCCTAAATGTATCATCGGCCAGTCAAGTCGGCAGCAGAAGTTGTGGAGGCTTCGACTGTCCAGGAGGCTGGTTTGCTGTAGAGATACGAGGTGGGGGCGGAGGCGGTGGTTGTGATCGTTGCAATGGTTGTGTCTGAGATATCACGAAATGACCAATCGCTTGATGTTGGGTTTGTTGTGGTTGAGGGTGAAAAGTGGCAAAACCGTTGCAGTGTTCGAGATCAACATCGCCTATGGCGCTGGATTCATTAAACACGGCAGCAGCATTAGCGGATGATGATGATGACGCAGTCGATGATGACGATGAGGAACCGGAGGAGTTTGATTGGGAAGCTGGAGACCCAACACCTCTTTGAGGGACAATCGATGGTAAGGTAGCACCAGATTTAGTCTCGGCTGCAATTAGATTCTGAAATCCGTTTAACTTATGAGAGCGTATTTCAAATCCGACTTGTCCAGGATTAATACCGGCGGTAGAGACAGCAGGGTTGGAATTTAAGGTCAAGTGTTGCAACTGTTGGTGATGTCCGAGTTGGGCTGCTGTGGTTGTAGAAAGAGACGCGATTGGAAGACATCCTTCTGAGCTACCTGGTTTGCCAGTTGATGAGGCAGCACGGGGGCTACTACTGCTCGAAGTCGAGCTGGTCGAAACTAGGGAGGGATGTATATATAAGGGCAAAACTAACAGATAATAGTTTGTCGTAGGATGTGGAGATTCCACGATAAAGCTGAGGATTATACTTTGGAAATAAGCAAACGATTAGCATCCTAAATACAGAGAATGTGGGAAAATAAGAGGTGACCACTTATGGCTGTTGGATAGGGAAGAGGCAGGAGGTAGACGGCATCGCTGAGAAGAAGACATAACGAGCCTTGAGTTTTGTTATGGACTCTGCCATAGCATATGTACCGGATTATTGAAAGATTGTGTTATTCGTGAAGCTTAAATCGGGTTAGGAGTGGTATTGCGACAATTCGATTATAGGGCTGATAAATCAAACTAACGTTCTGGAGATAATGAAAGCTAGTGCTCTAGTAAGTTTTTAATGTGTCGCTACATTTAATCGATTTAAAATTGTCTAAGTAGATTCGCAAGTATAAGCAAGAATACGTAGTCCGATTTTAAAAGGACGTTCAATTTGACGCAGTATACGAGACCTCTCCCCTTGTATATTATTTACCGCATTTTAGATGAAACCTTAGAATGATTCTCCGGAAAGGAGACAATATATCTCGAGTACTTATCCAACTTGAACATCCCTTAATACATTTTCACACGAATATAAAGCGAATACAACACAGCAAAAAACTTACTCTCTGAAGGGTGGACATAATTATCTGTAGAGGTTGTTTGACCTTGTTTTCGCAACATGGTCATATTGGTAGGAAGACTTATTGGAACTCACCTAGTCTGGGGACCATTGTCTGCATGATCATTTCCAAAGTTGAACCGTGGACGTGTCTTTGACGAGTTGTTGTGTGGTGCTAATGCGATACTCACTGACGATGCCGGCGAAACGTCTACGGTTCAACTTTGGAAATGATCATGCAGACAATGGACCCCGGACTAGGTGCGTTCCAATAAGTCTTCCTACCAATATGGCCATGTTGCGAAAACAAGGTCAAACAACCTCTATACAACGAAAGGAGACTGCGACCACACAAAAGGTTCTTGCTCTTCCTACCTTCGATAATTATCTGTAGTTATGACTACAATAATTACAATAGGATAGAATCGAATGTAAAAACAAGTTTTCTGATAGTCACTATGCTCTTGACATTTAAATTGTCCATGTATATCTAGGTTGGCTGGGGACTGAATTCGTTTGTTTTACATAGCCAGTTGGCTGTAATAACCAGCAATTGTTGGGTTTGCAAGAAGTTAAGTTTTCGCTTAGATAATTTATCAGTGCAGACGAAAGAAGATCCCATCGTGAAGAAGATCCTCGTGATCTTTTACTCTCGAATCAATGTTATCATACAATTACTTGTATTGATTCAACTTTGGTCGTTACGTTTCCTATTGTGCTGAATTTATCGGCCAGAAAATGTCTTGCTAAGCTTCATATTTTAACCACAATCTTGTTTCTGACCATTTTCCGGGCTAAGGCTAGTCAGTGCTAGCGGCCTCCTATATCGTTTATCACATCTGTTATTTAGTTGTGAATCAACTAAAATTCTGCTTAAGCTTCCAACTATCGGCTCTTTTGAGCTTCATTAACCAGATAGTAAAGAAAATTTTGCGCCCTATCGAGATATGTTGTTTCAAATGATTAAATGAAATGATCATTCGACCTTTCATAAATTAATATGGCCAAAGATGGAAGCCTAAGCGATGGTGATAGATTAAAGTTGTATATTTTATTTAGTACTCATAACGACATCGTAATATATAAATTAAAATAATAAATATGACGTTGTGGCCTTAGTAATAAAAATATTCATTTCTTCAGGAAATATTAAATTTCAATCGTCAGTAAAATGGCTTTTCCCGAAAGCCAATAACTAACTCCAGCAAAACGAATTCAAAAGTAAAGCTTTTCTAGGAAGACTTCATTGTCTTCGCACCATAATAAAGCACTAAGATGCTGTTGGAAACACAGTAAAGTAATGAAAGAGATATGCAACAAGAAAGTACGGAGGCACGAAACTTACATCCTGTCTCGCTACGTCCCCCATTCATGCGCAAAACAAGACCTGGTCCGGGACCTACTAACTGGCCATGAGAGTGAAGATGTTGGAGCTGGGAAAGAGGCGCCGGTTGAAGTTGTTGTTGATGATGGTGATAGAATTGCTGGTGCTGATGCTTGTGCAATGCTAGATGTGAAGCCGGCTGAACAAGTCCACCAGAAGAAACTCCGACCAAATTGGAGCCGCCGCTAGGCAAAACAACTCCAATCCCGGTGCCTGATATCGGGCTGCTGCTTGCAGGCAGATAGAGTGGAGGTAAGCTGCTATATTGACTACTGGAACCAACTCCGCCCAAGGATCCACTAACAACTCCAGCAGAAGTGGCGCTACAGCCACTACTGACGCTAATAGCGTTTGCATTGTTTAATCCATTCAATTCAAAGCCACTTTGGGCTAGTAGGACAGAAGAGAGTGGCGGTGGAGGTGAAGTTACTACGGAATCACAGAACCCGACACCGTTGTGCATTCCACTCGGGACACCACCGATCCGAGAGGCCTGACCTGTTACAGTAGTACTGGTGGTGTTATTGCCGCCAGTCCAAGTAGGCAGTGGTAAGGCACCTACCTCACTCACACTGTCCACTTCCTCCAAGCTAAGTCGAGATAATTCTGTACATCACATAAGTGCGTGAATGTGTGTACATATTCAAGTTTGAGTGAAACGAGAGGCAATGATCGACGATCAAAGGTAATATGAAAAAACGATGGTTAAGTGGGTGTAAACAAGAAAATGAAGAATTGAAGTTAATAAATAAAGAAACGAACTTATTGTACCAAAATGCAAAAATTGGAAGGCGTGTGAGTGACTAAAGTGAATATAGAAAAGCGAAACCTATTATAATTGCTTAGTTTTAACAAACGATGATGGCAGGCAAATAAAAAAGGCTGTAGGTATAAAATGGATTTTAAAATATTAGTGAACCTGAAAGGCACATACCAGTAGATAGGATGGAATAGGTATGCATATATAAACATAATTAAACATTGAAATAAAAAAAAGATAAAATGATCAGCAGGCATAAACTAAGCTAGACTCACGATTCACAGTTTCGCTAAACACAT